GGTCGAGTCCTCGTACTTCCGCTTGTTGCTGCCTACATTTGGACCTAATGACCTATCATCAGGTCATCTTCTCGGGACAGTCTGGGTTTGAGAAAAACCCAGATCTGGGTTTGAGAGAAGAAGAAGAAGGCCGACGGTGGCTTGCTATCGTCGACAGCAGTCATTGTGGGTGAAAGTTGAGTTCTTCGGCTCGAGAGAGGGGAAATGAGACATGAGGGTGACGAGGTTTTGGTGGATCAGCCATTTAGTGTCCTTGACGTAGGGGAGAGTTGAAGGCCCTTGTTGCGAGAGAACCAAGCTGAGGAACTGCTGGATCTGTTGGGGGTTGGGAGAAGTCGCCGGCAGCGGTACCATCGGTGTTTCGATCAAGTCAAAGATGAAAATCAAGAAGAGATCGACTGGATGGGTTTCTCAAAGAGGAAGAAGAAATCTGACTTGACGTGGGTGAAAAAAAAAAAAGAATTGTTATTTTTAAATTAAATGAAAATGCCAACTCATAAAAAAAAATGCCAACTATGTTTTTTTTTTCCATGTCATTAGTTAAGAAAAAAATAGAATTGATTTGCTGGCATTTTAACGTGACACCTGTCATTTAACTGACGGAAGGACCATTTTGGTACTGAAAATGAAAGTTCAAGGATAATTTTAGTACTTTTTAAAGATAAGGGACAATTTTGGTACCAAAGTGAAAAGTTGAGGGACCAAAATGGTACTTAAACCTATTTTGTTCTACTTGAGCACAAGTTTGTAGTGAAATGTTTAGAGAGAAGACTTAGCAGCACCTAAATAGCACATTAAAAAAAAAAAAGAAGAAGAAGAAGAAGAAGAAAATGAAGCCAATACAAAAGAGTTTATTGATTTCTACTCCAATGTTTTTAGTTGCTTAGTAACTGGGGGTTAGGCATGAGACCCATGTCAGCTTTCACGTCAAACAGTGATTTGAAATATGAGTATGCAAAATACTTTGAGTTTATGACTTGTTGAGTAACCAGGTGCTTGCATCACAAATGTTAGTATTCGCGTCAAAATACAAGTGATAACTTAGGGAAGAATATGTGTTTGGCTGAAAAAAAAAAAAAGTCGAATGTTTCGTGACCTTTGTTACTTGAGTAAGTATGTTCTCAAGAGTGTCTCTTCACCTAATGCCCTAAAGCCAACTGGTTTGGGAGTCATTGACAGAAAGCTTGTTACATGGGTAACTTAGAAAGCCTAAGGAAACTCAACATATGAAGAAAAAAAAAAGGGGAAGAAATAGAAAAAAATAATAATAATAAGTGTTAAGGTGTGAAGGTCTAAACTTGAGACTTCTTACTATGAATTTCCACACACACACTAAGTGCTCATGGGCTAAATCTTTTAACAAGTGGTGTGAAGAATAGGATGGAGTATTTGACTTTAAGTGAGTCTATGAAAACTCTTGAATATTTGAGACTTTGTATCTAATTGAACTTTAATTCTTAAATTTTCTTTGCATGCATATCATGTAGTTACATTCTTGCATTGGGATTTTGTGGGTAGATCCACTACAAACCCTCACGAGACACAACTCGTCCACTAGGGTGACCTAGGGGTTTAAAGACTTGTTGCATATTTTAAATGCAATCGTGATTCCCACGAAAGTGAGTTAGGTTTTATTTTCTTTTTAGTTATTTGTTTTTTTTTTATTTTACTCGAGGACGAGCAAAACTTAAATATGGGGGAATTTGATGAGTTGAATTTGTATACATATTAATGTGAAATTGTTGCCTTGATATTATTGATATTTGGATGAGTTTTATGAGATTTTACTGAGTTTTATAAGATTTTACATAATTTTCATTCTTTGTGTAGAAAAGGACTTGAATGCATAAAAGAAGAGTTTTTGGGATTAATTGAACATCTTTTGAAAGTTAAGAGATTGAATTGCAAGAAGAAGGGCGCTTCTTTGGGACCTTAATGAATGAATCTTGAGTTTTGGGATCTAAGTACTCATTGTACAAAAGCTGGAGGACAGATCTGCTATTTTACCATTGAAGAAATTGCAAAAGGAGGCCAAAAACTCGACTCGAGTGTAGTGTCAACACATAATCGGGGTGTCGACACCATGCGTTAAGCATCCAGAATTAGATTTTCTGTTTTTTTGTTTTATGTCGACACGCAATTCGAGATATCGATACCATGCGTTCAACATCCAAATTTCAACTTTTTTATTTTGCTTTAAGTCTTATTTTTATTCTAATTAGGGTTTTTAAAATCCTATAAATACCCATCCAAATTCAGAATTAGGAGAGCTTGGTGGAGGCTGGTGGCAGCCCTCTTTTGGGCACTCTTGGAAGTCAAGATAAAAGATCCATCAACGAGAAGATCAAGGATTTCAATTACCTCAAATTAGGTTTTTTTTTTCCTTAGATATTTTTATGTTCATAAGTGTGATTTCAGATTTTATTATTTTATTATAAACTAATTTATTTTATTAAGGTTATGATGTAGCCTAATCAATTCAATTGATTTAGTGATTTATGCATGAACTTGAGAAAGAATTGCGTCGATTAGACCAATAATAATATAAACTGTATGCTAGACTATGAGACCGAGAGGTAATTAGCTCACATGTGGTAGTGGAGGAAGAGAAGAGAGTTAGGAGCTCCTCCTTCTTAAGCTAGAGGTTTCCATAGAATTTAATGCTCATTAGTTTGTTTAAAATTATATAGAAATATGATTAATTTAACAAACCAGTGAAGGATTAACTTGACTTGAAAAAGCTAGTTAATTAATTTAGGGAAATCCACCATCACATACAATAACACTCAACAATTTGATAATCCAAAATTTATATTGATTGATTATGGTGAAGTCAATGTCTTAGTACCTCATATCTTTATTAGCGTGATTTTAATTATTAATTTCTTTTTATTATTTTTAATTAAAGTTTCTTCCTTTTTTGATTATTCAAATAAATTTAGATTAATTATTTTGGTACTTAGTTAGATGCAATTCTCATGGGTTCGACACTCTCTCTTTATTATATTACTTGGGGCGATTAGTACACTTGTTAGGATGATTTTAGTGCATCAGTTATCATGTAAATAAGATATGTTATTTTGCTCAATGGGAAAATCCATCCACATTCTTCTACCATCTTAGGCTATTCTATTTTCTAAATATTTTTGAGTAAAGA